CATCTGCTAAATTTGGCAGCTCGCCAATGAACGTGCCATAGTCCGGATCATACGAATTTATTTCTTCGGCGAGCACTGTAATACAGCTGTAGCATCTCGTCACCTCACGTTGTTCTCCACAATATAGCAATCGGTTTTTCTTCAATAATTTTTCGCAAGATTCTTATAGCCTATCTAATCTTCCTGTTAGCGAATGAGCAAGCGGGTAAACTAGAGAGGCTAAAACTACTTTCGTTAAAATTATTCAAAAAAAAACGACTGCTATATCCAATTGAAGCTTTCACTTGAAATTTGCTAGAGAGCATTTACATTAAAGCAACATTAATTATCACACACTAATTGAGATGTGGATTAATGAACAAAAATCTTAGAAGTACCATTCTTGCTAAAGTTCGATTTCATGGAGGCTGCGACTTCTGCTTTTCTTCTCTATGTGCGCCATAACACGATTCCGTGCCATACATATTTAGAGAATCAAAAATTATGTAAACAAAAGTGTACCTGATATCCCGGCCGTGAGCAAAATTATCGTCCTTAATAGCATCTTCCTAAATTTCTTGTGTTATACACTTTCAAGTTTCCACTTGCTAACGTTTACTCGGATAACGATAAAACCAACAATAAACCAAAAAGCTAGGGTCAAAGCCTACGACGGATCAAAATTAGAAAAAAATATGGAAGTTTTTGTGAGAAGGTTTCTGGTAGTTATGTGCGACAGAATAGAAATCCATAAAAGTAGTGTAGAAGAAATGCAAATTGAAGGAATTAACGTAAGTGTTAAAAGAGTCTCGAAAAATAGTGTGAAGGGACCAATGGGCCTAGTGCATCCGAGGGAGACTTAAAAACCTCTTGGAAAATGCCATAAATCTATCCAGGTGCTGCACAAGGGTCAACCATTGGTGATCAAACTATGAAAACTGCCATAGAGATCTTGTTAGGAGGGTTTGGCCTTTTTTTCTGTTGTTATTCTTTGTATTTCGATCTCAGCTCAGAGGTGCTGTATTAATGGAAGCTTATTCAGAGCTGTGTTACAAAAGTGTGAAGTTAATCACCTGGTCATAAAATACACTAAGAAGTTTTGATTACAAGAAAACTTCACTGACTAGTCAGTATATAACTGAACTTTTGCAAATTGTAGAACTGAGGTTTCCAGTGAAGTGCTTTCTTAGGAAATATTGCTGTGAATGACTGAATTTAATGTGGTTCAATTCGGTACGGGTACATTCCCCTTCTGTATTCGAGGCAGGCCCCAAGTTCTGAAGCTGAAAAGGTCCTTTGCGCAAGCACAAACAAATTAAAGAATAGTCTGAAGCAGTGCTTGATTGAGCACATTGTTTGTGGCGTAACACGATGACGACGCAACCGAGTGCGTAGCAGCGCTACGGCGGGGGTCATGGGTCATCGTGATTTGAGTGGTCCTTCGTGGCCCAGCGCCCCCAGAGTCCACTTCAGAAGAATAATTGGCACTGCTTAGACGTATTAACCATGGCTGACGAACATATGCTTTGCGTTCTGCAGCTCATATATCATGCTTGAGAAATTGTCACTAAGATCTGACACTTAATCGCAGCGCGTGAGTATGTGTATGACCTTGATGGGTTGCTCGAAAATCAACGGCATTCAATCCTCAACTAGTGAATCACTGAACAAAACGATTCAGAAGTCTTACACAGAGCTCAAAGGCAACTATATCATTCTGAGGGCATAGTACCCAATTTGAGATGAAGGAACAAAATAGCTGATTGTCAGGTTGGGTTAACTTTGAATCGTTTCGTTAACTTTATCTACTTTCTGGTTAGTCCCACCAAGAAAATCCAAGGGAGCGATGAACCATTCATGGTACAACTACCTGATAAGCTCAACTTCTAGACAATGAGGACAATCTTAGAAAAAGATTCTAAGCTTGTCCGACCCATATGACTCCAATAACAGCAAAC